CGGCTGAAAATCAGGCCGCTTCCAGCTGTGTCAGGTCGGGAAGGCAAAATTTAAAGCTTCCGAAATCAGCAGATGTTTTTGGAAAATCCAAGGCTTAATGGAGGCTTGTGCAGAATGCAGAAGAACAAACATCTTTTAGATATTTATATCTCTGTAAAACGGTTTATCCCATTGGGTTCTGGCACCTAACTTAGTACACAAGGATTATTGTATAAGTTTGTTCAAAATCATTTGAGTCTTGTTCCCCTTTCTACAAAGGACTGAGTGTTAGGCTCTAATCCAGGAATTATTTACAGAGCTAACCACACTTCTAAACTAACGCATATGCAGTCGTCATAGGTGGAAAGATTTAAGTATTCACTTTTATAGCTGAGTGAAAGGCTGAACTATGCGACCGCTAACGATAGGTCTCTAGTCTTAATTTGTGTATTGGAGAAAGGGAGTGGGTAAAGTTAACTGCACATGTTAGTCTTCTATTTGTTTCTTACTTATATGTGTACTTTGCTTACATGCTTCTGAGCAGAAATAGTAGGAGGACTACAGGCAGAGAGACAGTTCATTGCATAAACAGAAAATACATTTTAGGTGCTTCCGGTACTCAGGTTCTGTGATTTCACTTAAACATCGGGATTTGAGGGAGGCTTTTTTAATTACTTTACTAATCTGTCTTTTGGAAAGAACTTATGTTGGTGTTCTGTGCTTCTTTGGGGCTTTGTGATTTTTTTTTTTTTTCCTGATAATATTTCTGCTGCCTTGGTTCCACCAACCAAAGAGTGGTAATATTATTACCTCACCTGGGAGCAAGGTGCTGTTTTTTTTTTCTTTCTTTGTTTTTTAGCACTGAATGCTGCTGTGAAATTCCAAGTACCCTTCATTTTGGTGTGGACCGTTCCCTCGTGAATAGATGTTGCTTGTGTGTGTATATCTTTTTTAATGTAATGTCTCTTATAAATTCAGGTGTTGGATTACCATGGGTGTAAAATAAGTGACCCATACTGCTGGCTTGAAGACCCTGATAGTGAACAGACAAAGGTAAGCTTTTTTTGTATGAGAATAGTTGTTTTGACACAGATCTTTTCTATAGGTTTGATGCATGAATATCCCTTTTGAAGTATGTGCCAATAGTTTTACAAAACTTACTGTTGTAAGTGTAGGTGTAGTGTAGTACAATCTGATGTCCTGCAGCACTAACAGAACAGTGCTGTTATTTTGTACCTTTGTGTTAACATGGGGGAAAGACTGGAAGAGTTCAGAAAACGTACCCTAGATCACAGAATTTGGAAAAGTAAGGTCCTATTTATCTTGCACCCATTTTTTCGTAGATGATTCCAATGTTCAAGGTGGTATTATCACACTGAAGATAAACATTCCGATTTCAGAACACTGTATCTACTGTCGTACATAAATCTGAAATTACCCTGATAAGATAGGTAAGGAAGGGTAGGAAGAAGGCGCCTTTCTTTGGCTTACTTTCTTTATACGGTGTGAGTAATATCTGTGGGGTTTTTTTCGTTTGTTTGTTTTTTCCCCCTCTACTTTTTCTTCCTCAAGTTAGGCCGTAATACTGGCATTTATTACAGATGTTGCAGTGTGTGCAGCCAGCCATCTGGTATAACTAGGCTGCTGGAGCTCGTCTTTCATGCTGCACTGAGAGATTCATGAAAAATGAGAAAATATGACTGTGAACCAGTTCCTCCGATATTCGTGGCACAGGGAGTTGTAAGGGTGATGGAAAGCAAAACGAAGGTATCGCAGGGATAGGAAGGTTTCTCCTAGGATGGCTATTAACTTTATGACAACTGTAATTCCAGATCTAAAATGCTAGCTTTTGTCCAGTGTGCATGATTGCGTCAAAACAAAGGTGAAGAGCAGGATCTTAATTAAAAAAAATATATATATATCCTGCCGTGTGGCTTTCCATTGGTGAGATTCCTTGTAGGTTTTCTTGTATATGTGCTTACATAATATGTTTTGATGGGCTGTTTGAAGGCATTCAGTGTGAATGTTAAGAGCAAGATAAAATGGGCGCTATCAGGATCGCGTTATCTGCTTACAAATCCTTTGACGTTTACAAAGACTTGTTGGATTAAACAGGTTCATTTGGACTCAGTTTTTAGTGAAATGTTCTGCAATGGCGTTAACGTGAAAAATTAGACACGTAATAAGTTTAAAGTATTTGGATTTTTTGAGTCCTTAAGAAACGGTACACATAGGATAGCTTTGTTTTGTTCCAAATTCAGAAGAGTATATATGTGGGGAGGTATGGTTATGTCTTTCTTGTATGGAGGCCTTACAGATGCCTGTAAAAATGATTTTCAGGATCCCATGGGAGAGTTATAAAAATGTCTTTCAGGATCTCATGGGAGAAGTTGACTGGAAAAAAAAAATGCCAGGACATGACCTTTGGTGTCCTCATGTTCAGTAGTTTAACCTCATACTGGGAAAGTATGAGTATTCTGGGAGAGAGTAGCTGAGGAAGAGAGAACCTCCATTCTTCAGAGGTTCTAGTTTATGTGTAGGAGGCAAAATAAGAAATGGGAGATTTTAACAGCCTTCTAAAAATGCAGCAGCCCAGACACAGGGTGTCACATTGTTGGAAAGAAAATACTGTTAAATCTCACTTGCCTACGCTCCAGAGAATACGTGCCTCAGCAGAATTCTGCAACACTGTAGTAGAGAGATGCAAAGAGAGTTTTTTTTTTTTTAGTATGTGCAAGTAGTTGAGCTCATGATCCTTTTTCATAAGTTCCAGCAGTTACTGAACAAAGGGAATTAAAATATTTTGCTGTCCTACCTCTTTCCTAGAAAAGATAGAAGAAAACAGTCTGGAAGTGCTAAGTTCCTCTCATCTGCTTTATCCCTCGCTTTCTTGTGCTCTGGAGCAGAGGCTGCTGATAGCTGCTTTCTTTTCTTGCTAGCTTTTTTTAATAGTTTTATCTTCAAGTTCATGATACGTTTTGCAGGACTTGTGCAGAATAGCTATTCTGCACCTACTAGATCAAATGATAACCAGGCACTGGCATGGGGTAATTGAATGACTGTGCATGCTTCAGAGAGAAGTTGGCGTGTGCTCTGTAGGGTGCTTAAGCCTTCAAATCACTGTTCTTGAGATCTGTGTCCTTCACTATTCTTCCTACAAGTCGCTCTATCTTTTTATGCGCTCCTTAACATCCCGAACCTCCATCTGTTTTGGTGAAAAGTCACAGTGCCCTGTGTTTTTCCTTCATTAATAGGCTACCTTTAATTTTCTAATGTTAAGTACGGAACTAGAACAACCGTTCTTCTGATGTTCGTGCTCATCTGCGGTGAAAGAGCAAAGTTCAGCTCCTCTATACAACGTGCTGGCTTGATCTGTGTATGTGTAGCTGTGTAAATCCTGAAAATTCAGGTTTATGGTAAGAGTGAAGACTAGACTTACTCATTCATTTATGAAGTTATCAAATTTTTATTGCACACAAACAATCAGAAAGTGTTTAGTACAGTCGAGTAGAGAGCCAAATATGTTAAATTCTACTTTTTTTTAGGCCTAGCAGAACTGTTCATGTCAAGTATTGATATGATCATAAGAAATAGAAGGGTAGGCCTCACTTTGTTTCTGTGTTGATGTGAGTCAATAAAACCTCAAGTGTAGTATTTCTTGAAGCATGGAGAAAAAAACCGATCTCACTTGCCTGTGTTTCAACTCTGGAATTTGCATGGCAATTTGACCTCCTGACTACTATACAAGTTAGTAGGACTGAGACTGAAAGAAGTTATCTAGAACAGCTATAAAAAATCATAGTCATTTTTTTTCCGGGGGCTAGTTCAAATGATTTTGCGGGCTCTAAAAGAAAGTTAGCAGCTTACAGACAAGTGAACCTAAGAGTAGGATTTTTTTTTTAACTGGCTTAATTGGGCATTTTTGTTATGAGATAAGCGTGCAGATAGTACAGTATCTGATCCACTCTATTTTGCAGGTTTCCATGAAGACAGGTGGTTCTGTTGTTCCTCCACCATCCCTCCCCTTCTTGCATGGATCTGAATGTTTGTGTGGGTCTTGCATGGGTCCAGCCATCCTGCGGCCACAGGATGAGATTACGGGGGTGAAAGCTTTGGTAGGTTAGTTTTCTGTTGGAACACATGCTTAATCCAGATCAGTCCAAGGCCATGTGATAGTTGGATCTAACACAGGAGAAGGGAGAATATGGTTCAAGGATCTTTCCTTTTGTAGTGGTGTACTGCCTACTTTTAGTTAGGCAAGAAATCAAATAGCTCTAGAAATTTTTCAGCCACGTCACTAGGATGATCTTATTCTATGTGTGGTGTATAGGTGCTTTAAAAAGGAGGTTATTGAAATCTGTAGCCAGAAGCAGAGGGGTGAACAGGATTGTTTTTTAATGTGCGTGCATCTTGGAGCTGATAAAGCCAGTCGTCAAGCCGCACCCTCAGTCTCTTGTAGAAAAGCTCTTGTTCGAGATCACCTGCTTCCATGTTCGTGATCTATGTGCTTATTATATTGCTTTTTCTTCTTCTTCTGTGTTTGGTGGAAGTAGTTATACACAGTTACAAGCAAACAGAAATTCCTTTTCCCAGATACGTAAACAGAAACTGAGCTCCTGGTCGTATGAGGGAATTCCTACTTCACCTTTGAGAAAGGAAACGTGGAAACTGGATTTGTGCTCTAGCAGTGTTTGGAGGTATACCTTGACTATTAAGACACTTAGAGTGAGGAAGCTTACCTGGCATAGTTGAAGTGTTGTGCCGCATTGGTAAAACGTCTTGTGGCCAAACGCAGGCCACAAGTGCAAGACTGCACTTTTATTAGTGTCTTGGGTTTGACTTAGCTGGGCTTTTCTGTTTTGGTTTTACCCTTTGTAGAAAATAAGAGCTATTTTAGTCTACAGCAGAGTCTTTTGCTGCTACATGTCAGTCATATACAATACCTTAACGCACTAAAAAAATGCGCAGGCAGAAACATGTAGCTTATTTCAGACGTAAGGGGTATGCAAGGCATGAAAGAGATTGTGTAGGAAGCAAAGTTGAGTTGTGGTGTTATGAACAGAGGTATGTTTGGATTAAAAGTAGAATTGAAACTTCCAAAACTCTTAATTAAAAGAATTTGTAATTAAAATTGACCTGCGTTTCATTCACAGATGTTTTGATAGTTTTCCAGTTGCGCTTTGAATTTTGCTTCAGTAAATAGTAAAGCAGTGGTAAAGTAAATACTAAAAGACAAGCTGCCAGAAATCTACTTAGTTTTGTATCGTAATGTTTAATGCAAGATGTGCCCTGTTGTAGGAGTTGCATTGAACTACCTTTCAGTGGAAAGACATATATTTAGGGGTAACTCTTAAACAAACCGTAAATTCTTTACAGATTAATAACAAATACTGGTAGTTCTTTAAAAACAATTTCTATCGTAAGACTCCTTCTTGGACTTTATTCTGTGAGTGCCTCTGACAATTTTCTTCTTGGGTGAAAATTATCTTGTTGAGAGAACAGCATACTAGCATCTAGAGAGCTGATGGATTGTAAGAAAACATGGATAATAGCTTTTATGGGGTTTGTTTTCTAGATGAAACTTGGATATACATTTTTTTTAAGTAACGGATGACCTGCTCAAGAGGTGGCCAAACACCTCAGCCTTGACTGTAACATCTCTATTCTCACTATAATACTGTAGAAATTCTCTTGCTCTTCAGAATAACCTTTTTTGAAAGTTTATTTTTATGGAACATACATAAGCATATGCCTACCTTTGATCCTTTTGTCCTTCTGCTAATAAATTCTCTGCAGGTTCAAGGCTCATGGTAGTTTGTCAGCTGTTGATTTCTACAGGTAAAATATAAATCTTTCTCTGTAGGCTCATGAGGATGTGTAGAAGGGAGAACTACTGTTAGTCCTGTACCCTGAATGTCATCTGTGTAGTTCACCATGGTTGATGGTGAAGGTTTTTTCAGTTTACTGTGAAAGTTTCGACTGGCAACATCTGTTCCTGTACTTTACCTAGAGCAGTATTTCAGTTATGTATTGCTTACTGAACGTGAGTGTTCACGTGACCCTCACGCTCAAAAGCGTGAGCGCTTTGGAAGTGCTCAGAAGCATTTCCAAAAGTTCTCTCTCGGTGGCACTCTCCAAAACCTACGAGTCCTAGCTCCTATTTTGGGTAGTGTGGTGTTCCCTTTTGTGAATACTCTTGTAATCTTTGGCGCACGCTAGGCGGAAACAGAGAAATTACATTAAGTTCCCATAAAAGCCAAATTACTAGTGATTCAGTTACGAGTGCAGCAGTTAATATGTAAAGATACTGTTGTGCAATAGACGTTTGAAGGAAGAGGAAAGCAGACATGGCGAAAGTGTGGCTGTACACTGAAGAGTGGAGAAGGTACAGTTCCCTTGCAGCAGTGTTACTGTTTTGGTTACGTTATTGATGGATAAAACCAAGACGTGTGCCAGTTTCTGTCTACTAAATGCAACTGAAAAGCACTTTTACCCGTCCAAATAAATGTTGCTATCTCCTGTACAATGTTTTACATGTGTTTTTATAAAGCATCTTTCCTCCGAGAATGTCACAGCACTTTGTATAGCATAGGCTGCCTAAATTTTCATGTATTTGCTCTTTGAAATTCATGTGTTTCCATGTGGAGAAAACAAATTCAGTTATTTATGATTCTTGGGAAGATTCGATCAGTTCTTTTGTCACCTGATGGGCATCCGCATTGGTCACGGTGGTACCAGGTGAAGGCTGCATCCTTTTCTGTCTGGAGCAGTTTTACTTACCACTGGGATGTGCTGTGCTGGATGTTAAAGCTGTCTATGCCAGTGTGGTTCTCAAAGGAAGAGCATGGACCAAAAATTTGCCTTCCCTTGGCAAGGTGTTCACCTCTTTCCTTCTCTTTCCTCAAGGAATTATTTGCAGACTCGATCTGCACTGATGCATGGAGTCTAATTTTGAGTAACGTTCCAGATGTTATCATTGTTAGCCTTCAGCATCTTTTCAGTCACGTGGTTGGTTTTTTGCATCATCCTTGAATGGTGACTTGCACATAACCAGTACACATGTTATTAAATTAATATGTTTCAGCACGTAGCAAAGTGCTCTTGGAGCATTACTAGTTCAGTGCTTAGGTGTTGAAAGCTTATGAGTTTCTGTATGATTTGTCAGACGTGAACAAATGCCTCTCAAGTGGAGACTGACTATAATTAATGCATTTTCTCATTCACCTTTTAGCATAACAAGTCTCTGAAAATAAAGCTTGGCATGTAATGCAGCTCTTGGCTATACATATACTGCTGAGGCAGCAAGGCAAATGGTGGAGACAGAGCATCTGTCCACTGCTTTCCCTCATGTAGTTGCCTCTGTGTGAAATGTCTGTAAAACACTACTGGAGGAGAGTTTTACATTTTACTCTTCCCCTTACCTAAGAATTGATAAATGAGTAAACATTGATAACAAGCGGCAAATGTGTGTCAGGCAGTCTGTTTTATTTATGCAGCAGCTTGCTTTAACAATTGTAAAGCGCTGAAGGGTGAAACACAAGTTGTGGAATGCACTCAGGACAGGCGGGAACAACCTCATCTTTAAACGGAGCTGGGGAAAGAGCTTGTGTAAGCAAGATATCAGAGCTAGACTTCAGGCTGGAGGCCTTGCTGCCTTTTTGTGACACCTTTTGGGGTTCTGAGAGTGATACGGTAGCCATCATTGCTAAGCTCATCATTGCTGGCTCTGAGCTACAGCTCTGTACTGTGTGTGCTGTCCTTTCTACACCGTATTAGAGACAGCAAAACAGCCTGCATGTCTGCTCCTTAAAAGCTGTGGTTCACAGCCTGTCATCTTAAGATGCTCAGGTAGTAGTTTTATATTAATGCACTGTGCTGTAAATAGAGATGGTGAAGAACCAACATAGTACAGTTTTTCCATCCATGCTGTGGATGGAAACATACAAACAAACAGCTCTTACAAACAGCTGGAATAGTAATGGTTTGGGCCATTTTATTTAAGAATTTCTGACTCTGGGGTAGAATGCTTTTAAGACTCCTGACTCCTTTTAAGTTCTCTTCACAGAGGTTAGATATTCTTTTTTGTACCTGAGAATTGACCTGCGGACAGGGAAAAAACATGCATCTTCTCTACTGGCAAAGCCCAATACTCTGGCCTTTGCAAGAAATACTGCCCGGGACTAATCCTTTGTCTTATAAGATAAACAGTTGGTGCATATGAGATTTGGTATCATCTTCCAGCCTTTTACAGCTCCTGAAGTGATAGTTTTTTGTGGGGGCAGAATGGACTGCCTTTCTGTTCTTTATCCACTTTCTAGTTTATTCACCATGAAGTATTGGAGCACATTGTATTTATTATGATGTAAGTGAAGCAGGTAAGTTAGCTTTCCATATGCCATTTATGCAAATATAAGGACAGTTTTTGAAAGCAAGAACTTTGGGGGTTTTTTGATGGGGGATGGCAGGAATCTGATTTGTCTCTGGCCTGACCACTGATTACCCCAATGTACGCCCTAGAAACTATTCAAGGTATAAGATCAGATCAGAGTCTTATTATGGTATTGTGGCATAATGAAGGCAAGTGTTCGAGACTCTTCTGGTGTGACTTTACATAACTTACATGGCAAGGCAAAGATGTCTGTGATGTACTGCATCAGAAAATAGTGTTTCCTGTAAGAAGTATGTGTTTTAGCTTGAGTTCATATGTTTTTGGGGGGATTGTTTTCTTTCAGGCGTTTGTGGAGGCTCAGAACAAGCTCACAGTACCCTTCCTTGAGCAATGTCCTGTCAGAGGACTATTTAAAGAACGAATGACGGAGCTCTACGACTATCCGAAGTACAGTTGCCACTTCAAGAAAGGAAAAAGGTATGTGAGGAATGTCTTTGTAGGTAGCGATGAATTTGAAGCAACCACTCGTTATGATAAACTATATTTACATTTACTCTTATTATTGGAAAGTAGAAAAAGTAGTTGTTTAAGCCAATGTTAAGACAAGGTTGTGTGGTGCAGAGCACAAGGTGCTTGACTGGGTCTAATTCCCAGTCACATTATCTTCTTGTGCCCTGATTGTCCTCCTTTTTTACAAGGAGAGTAGCAAAGGTTGGTTAACCTCAAACGACCTTGTAAAAGGGCTGCTGCGAAACTTGGAGGAGCTGCTTTCAGGGTTTGTCACTGTCGGTAGAGTTAAAAGCACTCATCCTGAAAGCAGCACAGGTCTATCACGTACATTTTTTTTCTCTAAGTATTTACTAAAATGCTGCTTTTTGGTTGGACTTATTTTGAGCAGCTGTTAGGACTTTTATTTAGTCATAGTCTGGGAAAAGTAGTGGGAATTCCCCCTTGGAAAAAACTACTGCTATATCTGCAGTGGATAGGGGGAAAAAAGTAATGAGGAGTTAAGGCAGGTGATGCAGAAAACACCCATCTGTATTGCAACGCAGCCTATTTGTATTACTGTTTTAATTCTGTGGCCAGATAAAGGGATGGTGCTTCTGGGGCGTTGCTGAGGTCTGGAGACTGCAGCTCCTACTTGGTTTTGTGTAACGTCTTTCAGAAACACTCTAGTATAATCTTTGAGGGAGAGAGGGAGTAAAGGGATGAAACTGCTGGTTAACTTAGTAACGTCAAAAGACTGTTCTGGCGGTTGAAAGAGAAAGACAAAACAACTAGCCTTTCTTAGTCGTGGGAAACACAGATAGCCCTTTTTCAATGTTTTCGGTCTATTTATGTCCTTGTTGAGTGAGCAACCACATAGGCTAGGCATGTTCTCACTGTCATCCACAGGAAGGAGTGGGAGATTGGAATCCCCTGTGCCTTAATGCTACTTTACTGATTTTGAGAGAGATCTGCTGCTCTTATCTGTCCTGTTCTGTGAGGATAGCCTGGTTTCTTGTTACCAGTGGAGAGGAAGTCTCTACCATATGTGAAAAGCATAGGGAGGGAGTGACCCCAAACTAGTCTTGATTTGAGCTGCCACTTACATAGCACAGCACATCCATACGTAGAGGTACGTAGAGGTAGTAGTTTGTATTGCTACCCTACCTATTGTTGTAGGACAGTGTTGCATCGAGGGTAGTAAGCCTTCTTGAGAGAATCAGGCAAAGCTTGCTAGTTCAGATGCAATACTAGGGCAGACATAGCTATGCTGAATCTGATTATGGAGCAGGCTTGGTCAGTGATGGCTCTGGATTCTCTGAGCCTTTCCCTGTGCAGTGCATACACGTCTGGATGTGGGTACCATTAGTGTTGATAAGACCTGACATTTCAGTAGTGCTCATGGCAGTGATGAATATAGTCTCCAGTAGAGATAAAAGGTCTTAATCTGATGAAGATCTTCCTCCTGGAGTACAGTCAGCTGTTCAAAGAGCTTAATGTGCTTTAATTTATACTATATAACTTGGGTGTTAAGAGGTGTCTCTAATTTTCCTGAGAATTCCTCTCTGACCAGCCCTATTTCTTGGCATGCACTGAACTTGAACTGCAATGATTTAAAAATTTTACCAAAAACCCCTGTATTGCGGTATTTGAGGAGATCAGGAAGGCTCTACTAAGTAAAGTAACGCTTTCGAAGGGGGGAAAAGTTGTTCTGTTGGAAGAACCATATAAGCTTCCCATGATATTTGTAAGTTCTTCAATGGAATTACTCTAATTTTCTGGTGAAGAATCGTAGCCAAAGGACGATGTCTGAAGAGCTTTTCTGCGGAATCTGCAGAAAGGAAAAGTGCCCAGGGAGGTGCTAGGTCAGTCACACTAATTGACTCTTGCTTCCTCGCTTCTTGCCTAGCATTGCAGAGGTAAAACTGGCTAGAAAATGCATGGTCAAACAGAAAATTACATGTCTTTTTTTCCCTTGTTCCTTTGAATCTTTCCATTTTGTTGCCCCCTGAACATATAGTTAGTATTTGAATGTACTACTAGCTCAGACTGTTAGCCAGACCTTTGTGAGTTTAGTCTCGCGTTCTGGCTTTACCAGGTTCCTGTACTTGTATCCAAGTATTAGACGTTCTTAGTGGATGTGTGAACTTTGTTTAAGTTTGGAAGTTGAACATTACCCCATAACTTCCACCCTCCCCGCCAGGTAAAGCTGCCATTTGATTTGTTTTTTGAAGCCATAGGCTTGTGTAATAAAATTCAGAGCAAGTCCTATGAAGGAGGAGTGTACTACCTGTGCATTACACAGTATGTAATTATTAATTTCTTTGCCTCGTGTCTCTAATGTCTTCTAATATGAACAGTATCCCTCACAAAAGAGAATTTTGCAATTCTCCATTCTTGTAACTCTCTCAAAACACTTACAGTCATATGGACTTTGGGAAATAAAGATCTGAAATTTTCATCTGTCATTTTGAACATCTGTCTACCACCAGATTCAGATGAAGGCAGGTATATGAATGACAACATTTAGAATGTAGGACTTATAACAAAGAAAAGCTAAAGCTGCAAGAGCTTTGTAACAGGTCCATGGAGCTTATAGAATATTAAGAGCTTTGCTTGAAAAACATTGTGGCAAATTCAGCTTTTATTTTTAGAAGATGTTGTAGTTGCATCCTACAATCTCCGTTATACAATCTATATCTCTTTGAGATAAGACTCCTCTCATCTT